TATTTCTTTTCGTTTAAGAAAAGTGAAATGCTTCTATTGCTTGTTAAAATAATAGGCTCATCAAAGTATATTGTGATGTGTTGACATTTAATGAATTTATCGATGGAATAGTGAAAGCATTCGTGCCTCAATATGTAATTGGTTAATGGTAAACGCAGTCAGTAAATCCTCTTCAATGATAGCGCAGAGGCCGTGTTAACGTGTGTTCTTAACCTATACAGCGAGCATCTGAGCCATGGTTTAACAGTGCCGTTATAGGGTTGCCAAAATTCATACAAGAATCCATGCTGTATTATAAATAAGCAGTAGAGTGACCTTATGGTATGATTTTGTGAAAATAATTGAGAAAAAGGAGTGACATATGTTACTTTTCCCGTGAAACAATACAGAACCCTTAGTTTCTTGCTTTTGACGACCACGCGAGCGATGCCTCTGATAACAGCTAGTAAAATAATAAATACTTCTATTAATAGATTATTTGGCATAAGAAGAATATGACATAAATACAACGTAATTAAAAAATATATATAATGTGCTTCGACACTCTGTGGATCATATGTGCGCAAGTATGAACAAACGAATAAACACAAACACTACAACAAATTATTAAAATTAAATTTGGTATATCAGTTCACTTCTTACTTAACCAATAACAAATATGTTTAAGTACTGATTAAGCTAATAATGAATTGTACTATTTGGTAATAGTCAAATTTAACATAAACTTAACTTTAACTGCTATTATAGTGCAATCTAGCCTTAAAATCATGACGTTTCACTTATATTCGTGTCAAGACAACCCTGTTCAGTTGATGCATCCCAAATACTCTAGACACGCGTAATGAACGCCACTCGTCATTCGCTCGATATTGTTTACGGAGTGGGCGTACCGCGCATATTACGCCACCCAAAATAACGACAACATTGTATGGGTTGGATGACACACTGGGTGCTAAAAGAAAAGTAAAGTAAATTTTTAAACCAAAACAAATAATTTCAAAATATATATTAATGAAATGTATTCAATTTATCCCTATCTTTTATATCTTTATAGCGGTTCCCTCGGGATTAGGTGTAGAGAACCGAATGCTACAAAGCACGATCCTCACATACATCTTCATCGCCTCCACTTCCGTTGCTCTTTTCATACATACTCGAAAGTTTATGTGGCTTCTGACATTACCTTTAAATAGCACGCGATCAATTTGAATATGAAAGATCTTAAAATTATTCAATTTCATCTTATAGGTAGGTATCATATTATATTTGAATGAAGAAAATATATTATATATATTTAAGTATTTTACGTTAATATTTATTTTTAATAATCTGATGGTTTATCATCTATCTCTATCAATTCAATGAGAGGCAAGATGCGAAATTTGAGAGGGAAATAAAATTATTTTCTAGCTCGTAAGACCTACTGACCTGAGACCTACTGCTGCTACTGCCAAATTTCAACAATCAGTCTTAAATGTATATATCAAGACTTAATTTGACTGGATAATTGTACAACACAAAGCCATATGTACTGTTTTTTTGTTATTGGTGCAATTCGTCACAACAATCACATCCTTTTTTACTTATTTTTTCAAATAAGCTATCCCCGGAGGTCGCCATTAAAGAAGCATCTTGGTTGCAACCAAGAAAATTAAATATTCATTAAAGATGCAAAATCTTTTTGATTTCAATCAACTTATAGACGTAGCTCTAACTATTTGCCTTAGGCATTGATTACTTATATAAATATTTTAACTAGACTTTGAACTTTTCAATAATTTTTAAATTAATAACATAATTCAGTCACCTCAAACCAGCGAAAATAATTGATTAATTAGGTATATTTATAGTTTTAAAATAGTATAAATTGATAAAAACAATAAAACGTTCTTGTAACTATTGCTACGATTCTAGCTTTGAGTCAGGCGGTCGCAACACTACAGGCGTAGCATGATGATTATCATAGACTGCATGGCGACAATAAGTATTTCACATCAAGATTATGAAATATTTCTGTTTTTTTTAATCTCACTCTCGACACGAGAAAAGTTATATTTGGATAAAGACAAAGTTTTCTCGACTTCATTAATACTATGCATATGCTTTTCTATGCCGATATCGATATAAATTTCAAGAGGTTGCGTACATCCACATCCTTACCTCCTTGAGTCACGCTTAAAAAAAAGTAACATTGCGATCGTCACTTGTCCTTTTTTTCCCTACACTGATTTAAATCCATCTAAACATTACATCTTAACTGATTGTGTATGTTCTTGGTTCTTGATGCCAATTAGTATCAACAAAATACCTAAAGAAGATTCTGTATTATCAATTAACATGGTTCGAGTCCCGGAGGTACTCACTCGAAGCTCATTAAGATACTAACTACTCACAACTACATATTTTTCAGAGTTCTAATGCTCTCTAAGGACAACTAAAGACAATCAACTTTGAAACCCCAACGCCTCACTAATAAAATAAATATTAAGTCATACGTACTCAAGTTGCGCACAAAATGGACGGACATTCTAAACTGTATAAAAACGTAAAAGGACATCAAACTTGGTGACTCTATCCCTAAAGAGCACTATTTCGTCCTATTGAAAACTTTTTGAGTTTCAAAGTTTACAGGGGGATGTATTCGTATTTCCTTAAAATCTTATCCGGGCAAATACTAACAAAATTATCACAACGATTCAAGCTGACAGCCTTTATCCTTTACAGAATGCTCAGTGCTATTCTTGAGAAGCGTATATAGTATACTTATCGTAGTAACAGCATTTCTAATGCCAACTTATTTCGTGCTGCAGTGTGAATAATTGAATAGACTACGCGGAGAAAAGTTTCATTTTACTGCAAAACGAAATGGCAAACTGAACTATAGTTAGAGTTTTCCGTTACAACGCAAAATATCCTAGCAAAATGAAAGATATAACTTAACAATATTTATATTTTTTATTATTTTTATTTTTCTAGATTGTGCTTCCTTTTTGAGAAATTATTAAAACACTTGTCAAGGATACCTTCTTATTTTGTGTCATTCTTAATTTTTTATTGAGCATTTTATGCAGATAATTTTGTACACTAACTTTATAAAGAGAAAAGATCTGATTGTTTGCATTGACAAGGCTGCAAAATTACTAAACCTATTTTGAAAATTCTGTCAACTTCGCCTAGCATACGCTACATCACGGAAAACATAGGCTATAGCTTACGTGGACGAAGTCACGGGTAAAAAGCCAGAACTATATAAATTCACATATGGCCTGGTCTACACCTGGTTGTCATAAATTCTCTATTGAGATGTTTCGACGCATTCGTGATGGTGTTTCGGAAATAAATTATGTGGTTTCGTTTTCGGAAAAACGGAATAAAATTTCAATTAGTAATCCTAAAAAACGATGTTTTCTAATCAAAGAAGCAAAAAATATCTTTGAAACTAAGTTTGCCAGAATTACATAAGTGCCCAAATTTTACTAATTATGGATGAGAATGACTAGAATTATTAAATACACAGACACTAATAAATATTAGCATTTAGTAACCAGCAAACCTACAGCGTAACTACGTTTTATTAATTTTGGTTGATATTTGAATTACTCAAAATGCGTTGAACTATTTTAAATATTAGGAATTAGCTTTCTTTGATAACATTTCAAGGGAAAAATATCTGTCTTTTGACACCCGATGCATGCGCAAACATTTATAGATCGGCAGCTAACTAATCAGTTTGCAGTAAGTGTAAACGTCAATGTTCAGTGCAATATCTACTGCGCATGCGTGACGATAACATCTTTGTAGTTAGCTGAAACCTCGAAAACAAGGACAAATGGAATCTTCAATATCACTATCTCCTTGGTCTTACATAGTTTTCATTATTACCATTACATATTAAAGATATCAATTCAACGCTAAAAATATCCTAACAATTTCGACTTATGAATTATCAAGTTCATTATAATCATTGATAATACAAAATTTCACTTATTAAATCTTGATGCAACGTGTTCCAACATTTTTTAGAAAATAACTTATTTTATTTCAACGAATATTCAAGTTGTTCGACATACAATGTATTGCTTAAATTATGACAAACTAATATTTAAACTAGTTGTCGCGTTACGGAAAAAGCGCGTGATGTCACGCCCCTCTACTTAAACCTTATGCATACTTAGGCGATATTAGTTTTGGAGCGTTTAGCGACGCCATTACAGAAGAATGCGTTTTAGCTGGAAATTCTGAATATTAAATTTATTTTTAGATTTTATCTTCACATCATCACCAGCCCTTTTACGTCCCCTCTGCAGGGGCTCAGGCCTTCCTTATGGATGGTTAAGGAGGATGGGCCATGACCCTCCACGCTGACCCAATGCGGATTGGAGGATATTAACGACTGCAAATGCAGCCGGGACCAACGGCTTAACGTGCCTTCCGAAGCACGGAGTAGCTCGAAATAATAATTTTTTTGGTCACCCATCCCGTAACCGACCCTTACGAAAGTTGCTTAACGACAACGATCGCAGGCCGCGGCGCTTATCCACTACGCCACCGAGCCTCTCGTGATCCACCACCAGATTTTATCTTATATGAATGATACTTTTAACATTTATTTTTGGATATATTCAAGTCATATCTATATAAAAAAAAATATATAAAAAGTTGTCTAGTCTTACAGTAATAGGCACAACGTGAATATGGGTGCTATTCAAGTAGTGCCTGTTATTATAATTTTATGGAAATATGAAACTTTAATGTTGGAGTAATTTGCGAATTTTTGAAACAGCCATCACTAATAAACACCAAGCCAGTTTTATAAAAACAAAATAACATAGAAAATACAAAAATATATTTTAAACCAAAATAAACCTGAGGACATTTTATTATTATTGAGAAAAAAATAAGCTAATACTTACTTAAATGCCATCTTTTGCTAGAAATTCATTAGATTTCTATCTAACCAAGACGTTCCACGTTCTTAGTGTTTCACGTCTTTGTTGCAGGTCACTGCCGAAACTGTGCAGTCAAGAAGAGGAGCCGGGGAGACCACCCCAGGGCGGCGTCGTCACCTTCGAACCTATCCAGCACGACCACGACTTCTGCGAGCGCGTTGTCATCAACGTGAGTACCAATCATTACAACTTTTGTCTTGGCGTATATGTTTGTTTGACATACGATAATTTTCCGTACCGTAATCGAAATTCATTTACGAGCAAGTTATTTTGGAAAACAATAAAAAATTATATCAATATAACCATTGTTTAAATATTTGAGTAATTTATTAATAAGGATTAAACATTATAGAATAACATTAACGTATTCATTGATATAATCAATAATACGGTGGAATAAATATGGCTAGAGTAGTAGCCAGATAATTAATGTAACTTTTCTCGAGTGCGCTCCCATACAATATCTCACACTTGTCCCGTTTACCCAAGTCTCTCGAGTTCGTGATGCTATGCGTGCAGCTCTTTAACTGTGACGACTATTGTATAAACCATGATAAAAAAAATAACAAATGTGAGTCGGCCTTGCACACTAGAGTACGGGAGCAATGTTAAATATTTAGTTTATTCTGATTTTTAGGATTCGTTGTTATAGTGGCAACAGAAATACATCATCCGTAATTTTAACTGCCTTACTATCACGGTTCATGAGATGCACCCTACTAACAGACAGTGGAGTTTGAATACGACCCTTTGGGTACAAAACCCTAAAATTGGACAAAGGACCGAACAATTTTACTTAAAATTGACGATCCCTACTTTTTCTAACCTGTGCAATTTAGAGAATAGTTATTTAACTACAATTTACTACAGCATTCAAAACAAAACTTGTGAGTATAACACCATCTCCCTGTATGAGACGGCATTAATAATCCCAAACACTTAGTTCGAATAAATAAAAATATGGCCAAGTGCCAAAACTCAGCCGGCCTCTCTGCATCATGATCGGCGAAGTCAAATCATTTTTTTGACGGGCAACAAATGTCTGAATGGTTGAAGTTGTTGAGGAAAGTTTAGACATTAAGAAACATATGACATTTCTTTTGAAGGGACACGACTGCATTGTCGAAACAACTTCATCGAATGTCTTAAGGTCGGTACACACTGACGGAAGATGCGTCGAGCATTCATAAAAGTATGCGTTAAAAGACGCTTATATCAATAACTTTCAACAGCTTTGTATAAAGAATTAACATTAAATTAAGCCGTAATTTAAATAAGATCATACATGTATACTGACTGCGTCAAAACAGGAATTAATAAAACTAGATTTAGTCCATACCCGTGACGCTATCAACCTTATACTCGATTTGATATTGATATATTTACTTGATATGATCGTTATGGTAATGTCCTTATTCAAATTATGCTTATTTTTTATTATTATCCTAAGCATTCCTAGAAATGAAAGTTCTAAAATAATAAAAAACATAATTACTAAAAAACTTCACTTATTTAACACCTTAATACTCTCTTGGGTAACAAGATAGGAATCAGTCTCTAATAATAACAATCTTAAAACTATATCTAAAATAGTAACTTTCTAACAAAGAACTTAATTTAATAATAACTTATTAATTACTAACTCTCGTTACTTCAGCAAATTTTCTACGCTTTCAAAAACTATAAAATACAATAAATCTAGTCCAAATGTAAAAATATCATCTAATGTGTTATATACGATATTTTATAAGATTTTAATATTAATTTTATCTTAATCCTGCGGCATATAGCTTACCGCTAGCGGCTTCGCCTGCGTAGTTTTCCCGGTTTTGCAACATTTTTCATTGCTACTCCACTCCATTAGCCATAACGTGATGTTAGATAGCCTATAGCTTTCCTCAATATAATGATTATTCAACACAAAAATATTTTTTCAATTAGAACCAGCAGTTGCTGAGATTAGCGCGTTATACCAAACAAACAAATTCTTAAGCTATTAATTGTGCACTACTCGGGATTATACAGATTACCGGTATTGGAATTATTTACGCACTTGACCGATTTTTTGGCGATCGCCTTGTGCTGACGTGGGCGTCGATCTCTCCGATTGAAGAGTACAACTAAGAGCACTTAAGATAAAATTTTCGCTGTCACAGAAAACTGGAGGGGATCTTCTCATATTATTATGATCTAAAGAATATTTGAAAAGGATAAAACGACTCTCTCTATATTATATTGTCGACCTTTAAATGTAACCTTTTTTGAAATTGTGAATCGAACACACTGTTTATTAAGAAATTCTTTGAACAGGTAATATAGCGTTCTTAAATAAAAATGCTTAAAAAACCACTTTGTCCCTGGCACTCTAAGATGGGACTCGAACTCATGACCTTTCGCAATCCGGGCGACTGCTCTAACCACTGAACTGAAATTCCTATGCTACGCTATATTGTGATACTGATAATAAGTAAAATAGCACTTGCTCTTTGTTACGGATCGATATAGTTAGTGGCTGAATGAAACACCGATCGTTCTAGAACATCAATTAATCCTACTTTTCCTAATCAGAATTTGATGCTACAGAATATTTTTTTTAAATTCCAATGCCTATAGAGTTTATGTGTCTCTTTTTAGGGTTCGATACCCTAAAACTGGGCCTTATAACATCACTAAGACTTTACTGTCAGTTCGTCTGGCCATCCGTCAGTCACCAGGCTGTATCTCATGAACCCTGATAGATGAACAGTTTAAATTTTCACAGATCATTTATTTCTGTTGCTGCTATAACATATTGTAAGTAAAATACTACATAGAATACAATAAATATTTAAGGGAAACTCACATACAAACTTGATTAATTTGTGTTTTTTATAAATAATGATACGGAACCCTTCATGTGCTATTCCGACTCGCATTTAACCGGTTTATTTTGTTAACACAGGAAAATGCGCGTTACACCTCAAATCAGAGCTGTTCAGCCACTATGACCTATTTGTTCTACCTATCGGGTATAATTATTAAAAAAAAACTAAATATTACACATCAAAATAAATTTTCTGGTTATAAATAAATAAACTGAGGAAAAAAACGAATCATCACCAAAACTAAATTATACTTGTTCGGCAATCATATTCCATGCTGCTTAGGCATGGACTCTAGAAAAAAGAGAACAAAACAGAATGATGCCTTTGAGGTTTGGCGCTGCAGAAAAAAATACCATTAAAATGCACAGATTAAATAAAGAAGACTTTCATTAAATCAATGTACAAAGGATCGAGAGATCGACTTTTTAACATCAGAAGCCTTAGCCTTAACGGTACTCAATGAATACGTGACAAAATATTAATAGCCATGGCGAGTTTAAAATAAGTAATATTATATAAGTATGGCGAATTTAGACATACATAAGTTGATTGTCAATGTAGAGAAATTCCAAAAACATGCTAAGTTTAAAAAGACTCGACTTGACGACCACGATCACTACGTATCACGGTTTTTGTTTTTGTAATATTATACGTGTTCCGTAGAAAGTATAACGCCAAAGAAGGTAAGACAATAACTAAACTTATATAAAAAAAATTTTTTTTTACAAATTTCTGAAAATATGTAGTTTTATTTTAAAAGGAATTTATTCATTATTAAAATTCATTTTGAAAGACCGATCAAACGACAAAGCTTATTTTTAATTGAACATTCATAGAATATTCATAACCATTGAAAGGTAAATTAATTTAGGCCAGTGAATGGAGGCTGTTCGATAAAAGAGATCTGTATACATATATTATTCATGCTACGGAACAATGACACAAAATTTGCACAACAAAAGCCTTAGATTGACCAACGAACGATTCATGCGAATACCTATGCAAACATCAAACGCCTATTGAAAGTTTGCAGCGGACCTAAATAGGAACGTGTACAGGCACATATTGTATATCTTTTTTAGAATTACAATTCTTAAAACTGTCTATATTCAGGATATTACACAAATACCCGCTATGCCTAAAATATCTCAAAGTTAAGGCATTTTTTTATTCGAATTGGTAGCAATAATAAAAATCTTAAATAAACCTTTTTTTTTCTACCATCCATTCGTATTAGTATTTTTTTAGTTGTGTAGGTGAAAGGTTTCAAGGAACTTCACAATATATATACATATAAAATGCTGTATCCTGAATAGCTGACTGGCGGGTCAAATCACAGACTAAACCGGTGACCATAAGGACCTGAGATTTGAGGATGTTCTTTATTTGGGCGTAATTGGCATCGAAGTTAATATAATATACAAATATATGAAAATATCACACACAATATCAAATTTGCTTTATTTTCTCACCGTTTAAACCTTCCCAGGACTTCCACGAATATTTCAAGACTAAAATTTGTCAAATCGGTTCAGCAGTTCTCGAGTTTTAGCGAGACTAACGAACGGATATTCATTTTTATTTATATAGATAAATATGAATAGGTATGTAGTCCGGTGTATTTAAATAGATTTTAATGGGGAATTTTTCATATCGCCACTGTTACCTTACGTTCAAATGAAACTCGTAAAAAATATAACGAGTACAAATTAACAATGCGATTCAAACGGATTATGGCTAAACAACTATTTCTAGTGACGCTACGATTCCCAGTGTTGCCAGTTGGAATTGTTTATCAATATTGAAACAAAACACCATCCCTGACTCATAACATCGTTAATAAACAACCAAACTAAAGAATCTTTGCTCCATTTGATCAGCAAGGTAGTTTTGTTTCCAAATAATAAATTGCGCATTATACATAATGCCCGGCCATTTGAAAACCGCCCACTGTAAGAGAGCAATTCGATAATATTATAATTTGATCAATTTCGCTTCCTATTTTGCACAATATTGCATGATATACTGAAAAATATTCTAAATGAAAAATACTCAAATAATCAGCCAGGGACAGTGACGATTTTTAAGTGTGAATGCAAAATTAATAAAATATCTATGATAATTAGAACAAAATTTCATTTTTATCAAAACTTTAAATATTTGAAAAAATATTTAATTCGGCAGTTTAGGGGGGATGGCCTGAACATTGATAAAATACGCTCCGTACTAGCGAGTAACAAGCGCTCCAAAATCCGTCAGTCTTGTTGGCTCCTCGGTAACTCAGGGGTTAGAGGTGTGTTAATCG